AAATTAGCTTTTCTACTATCGATTAGTTCTTCTCCGCTCCCTATAGCACCTTGCTAATAAGGTTTACTAGCATATGCTTTTTGCCGCTTTCTATCAATAACACCGTGTTGATTACCTCTTGACTTACCGAGAGGTATATGCTGAGCGTCTCCCCTGCGTTAGGACTTGCCAGGGTCGGTAAGTGTCAAAGGCATTTGTTAACTTCTGAAAAGCCTTTTCGGCTTCTTCAGTCCACTCAATGTTTTTCTTTCTCGTTTAAGTTTATAATGTTTGAAAGAAAGGTAATGTCTTCTTACCTGACTTGATCAAGAAACATCCCAAAGCTACTAACTTGCCATTTAAGCTTGGTACATCTTTCATCGTCGGAGGAGTTACCATTTCCAACAAACTTTCAACTTTCTATGGATTCGCTTCTATTCTCGATGTAGTGACTACATGACCCAAGAACTTTCCTTTTTGTGCTCCAAAGACACATTTTTTTGGGTTCAATTTCATATTGGCTTGCTTAAGCTGCTTCAGAGTTTCCTCTACATCCGAAAGGAACTCAACATCATCTTCGCTTTCGCTTACCATATTATCCAAATATACCTCTATGTTTCTCCCTATTTGTCATTTAAACACTTTGTCCACCAACCTCTAGTAAGTTTCTCCTATATTTCTTAACCTAAAAGGCATTTTGGTGTAACAAAATGTTCTTTCTCCATGTGGAAAGTTGTCTTATCTTCATTCGATCTTGCCATCTTCACCTGGTGTTATCCTTTGTATGCATCTAATAAATATTTCCACTTGATTCCTCCCAAAGATTCGATCTTCTGCTCTATTTCTGGGAGGGGATACTTGTCTTTTGGGCATGCCTTATTAAGGTTGGTGAAGTCCACACATATTCGCATCGTGCCATCACCCTTCTTTACTAGAATCAGGTTTGCGATCCACCTCGGGAACTATGTAGCTCTCACGACTCCTGCTACTACCAATGCTTGAACCTCCTTGTTAACCACCTTTTTCCTCTTTTTATCCATAATATGTATCTTTTGTTTAACGAGGACATAGGTTGGGTTGATGTTCAATCGATGCTCTATTAGTGTCCAAGGAATCCCCATCATATCTTCTAGCTTCTGTGCAAAGGCGTCCACATGGTTTTTCAATAAGTTAATTGAACTCTGCTATAGTGAAAATAGGAGCTCCATCACCAACTTAACTTTCTGATCCTCGTGCTTTTCATTGATCACTACCTTTTCTGCGCCTACCGATGAACTTTGTTCTTCATATATTAACAGAGCTGGATCTGGTTGGACAACATGACTTTGTTCAGGCGGCCCTAATTTTGTGCTTAGTTATTGAAATACCTTTGTCCGTAGGAAACTTGAGCAGTCCATGCGCCATAGACGGGACAGCCTAAACCATCCATAAGCTTGTTCTTTCTAACAGTATGTTGTAAGGGGAAGGTGCTGGAATTATAATAAATTCCGCAAATATGTTTTTTCGAATGCTACATCTATAATATTCCACCATGAAAGGTACTGAAATCTTCCCCATCGACCATATGCATTGTCTGGCGAACCCCACCACAGCTGATGTGACGATTCTGATGTATTTTTGGATTTTGGTGGGTAGACCTTTCAAGAAGTATTCGTATATGATGTTAATGGAACTCTCGTTGTCTACAAAGGTCCTTTATATTAATGTCCTTCCCACCGCCGCTACAGTTTTTAATGGTGCGGTCCCCTTATGATCAAATGGCACTAGGTCATGATGGTTGAACTCGATACTAGTTAACTTTCTCTTCTTTATGGGTTTGGCGTCAAATCCTCCTCCCCCTTATATCATGGTGATTTCAGCATCATAAGTTTGGGCTTCTTCTTACTTTGATGCTTGTTTTTCCCTTATCTTAAAATGCTTGACCTTAATTTCTTTCTATTTTAAGGCCCTCAAAGTCTTCCGTAGCATGGCCCAACTTTTTACGGAAATTGCAATACTTGTTAGGGTCCCTAGCAAATTTTCTAGATCTTTATGTTTCCTTTATTCGGGATTTTAGGAGCATATGTGTCATATGCTTCCTGCCTATAAGTTTCCTTTAGGGTATTTTCTTAGCCTCCGTCACATTTAGAACTCTTTAGGAGAAACCTTAGCCTCCTCTTCAATATTTGACCTCCTCCCTCCTCTCTTCTCTTTTGGATGCTTTTTCTTATGTTTTGATGAAGATTAAAGATCGTAAGGTTCTTTTGGTTGCAAGGAATGTTGTTAGAAGTTTAGATCCATCAAAGTCACTTCATCTTTGGACTATTATGAGTATAAAGTTCTTATCTTGCTCTTAGCCTCTGTCACATTTAGAACTCTTTAGGAGAAACCCTAGTCTCCTCTTCACGATTTGGCCTCCTCCCTCCTCTCTTCTCTTCTGGATGCTTTTACTTATGTTTTGATGAAGATTAAAGATCATAAGGTTCTTTTGGTTGTAAGGAATGTTGTTACAAGTTTAGATCCATCAAAGTTACTTCATCTATGGACTATTATGAGTATAACGTTATTATCTCGCTCTTTAGTTCTTTAGATCTCTTCATTTGTGGTTTTTGGCACTTTTGGTCCATTTTATGGGTAATCATGGGGTTGAGCAGAATCCAACATCTATTGATAGTTTGGAATACTTCTTGGACGTCATGGACGATGAAATTTGTGATCTTTTGTCTCCCCTTTTAGCCGTGCAAGTTATCTTGGTCATATAGGTCATTTTGATGCATTAAAGTTTAGATATTGAAAGTTTGTGACATTGTTATGGATAAAGATGGAAACTTTATCCATCTAAACATCATATATTCATATTGATTCAGATACGAATTTTGGAGACTTGGACTTAATGGATTAAGTTGTGAAAGATGCATTTTTGGTCCCTTTTGAGACTTAAAGACTAGATCTTGGTTATTTGGACCAACCTAATGGAAAACGTTAGAAACTTAATCCATTTATAAAGCTATTAGTAACCTGATATTATGATATGAGTTTTGGTCCTTAAGGATTAAGCTTTTAATGAAGGAAAAATCTTACTGGATATAACCATGATGTGGCCAAGGAATGCCTATGACGTGGTGGTACACTGCAATGCTTGTGTTTTGTCTGGATGTGAACACAACATGACAAATGAATTGCCACAATGTAGGGGTCATCTGAGTTGATTTGACTATTAGGTTTTGACCAATTTGACTTTTGTTAAAACTTGGTTTGAATTGAGTAATTGACTAAGGACTGGTCTCGATTTGGCTTTAGGAAGCTTGGGTTGGCTGTTATGTTGCTGAGGTAGTTGTTGAGCTTCATTTGAGCAGTTCAGGTGAGTCTTTTGTTGACTAAGGATTGGTTTTCTTTGTGACTCTTGCATGTATATGTTGGGTTGGACCCATTTATTATATGTTGGGATGGGCCCATTTATTATATGTTGGGTTGGACCCAATTATATGTTGTTGGGCTAGTCTCATTTGCATGTTGGGTTGGGCCTATTTATATGTATGGTAGGTTAGGCCCATTTATATGTACATTGGGCTCGACCTATTTGTATGGTATGTTGGTATTTTGGGGAACATACTAAGTTTTGTGCTTAGGGTTTGTGGTTTAAATGTTTTTAGGTGTTTGTATATTAAATGAGGGGCAAGGATCGAATGCATTGCATCCATTGGAGGTTTCCATACATTATAGCTTTTGACAATACTCTGATAAATGTTTTTGAATCAAATGGTTTTATCTAGATATTTGAAGTTGTAATTTGAATAAATAATTTTATTTTTAAATGAAAATTTTGGTTTGAAATTTGGGAAATTACATATCCTCTCCAATAAGAAGTCATACTTTACTTAGAACTACATGCCCTTCTCACTCATGTGCCCCAACCTACGATGCCACAACTATGTCTTGTCATCTTCTTTATTCGAGGATTGAGAGATAACCACCGTTCCATAATCGTATTGCCTTGTAGGATATAATTCCCTCTACGATTCATCTTCCTTTTCATTATAACAAGAGTACCATAGGTGACTTTGACCCAATCACCTCCATAGCGTACCTTATCCCATTCTTAGCCAGAGTTCCAAGATAAATCAGATTCTTTTGAAGCTCTGAAACATACCAACAATATAACTTTCTGACCATATCATTGTGCATCTTAATCTACACAATATCACTACCCTTGATACAACTCACCTAGTTTTCATCCATCTTGACTAATCCATTCCACTCTTTGAAGGGGTCGAACCAATCACGATTGTACATCATGTGATACGATGCTCCAGAATCCAAGACCCAAGCCTCTGCAGAACTTATTGTACTTACGGTTAGTACCTCGTCATCTTCCCCTTCATCAGAAATCTCCTGACCATAACAACAGTGTTATTGCTACTTGATTCACTCTTGAACTTTCCATTCTTCAGTTGTGGAAAATTTCACTTGAAGTGCCTCTTCTCCTTGCAGTTATAAGATTCCACATTTGATGGACCTTTGGATCAGATCTTCTTTTGTTTCTGAAGGTTTTTATCGATCAGATACACTTCAAGTACAATAAAAACGAATAAATTAACTAAGAAAAACAAAGAACATAAAAAGTAAAGAACATGAAATAATCATTAAGTTATTTTTCACCAAGAAAGGAGTTGTTTTCACCAAGAAAACGGGTGTCACAAAGACGATCACGAAGATGATTACATTAGGGTTTCACTCTAATATTTAATATATACTAAATGATACTAGTATATCCCTTCAATCAAGGGTTTGTATCTAATCTATACTAAGAACTGATCCTTATCACAAAGATATCAGATCTATCATCTATTTTATACATATCCGTATAATTACATAATATACAAAGATTACATTAGATTGGTATCGACACGCTGGTGCTGATAAGGTATTGAGGCGCTCGTGCTGGTGTTGATATTGACGCTGGTGCTAATAGTCAACATATAGAGTGTTTGCCTCATCAGATCATAAGTTGTGACCTTATAATCTCCCCTTATCCGATGATGTCAAAAATAATCTTCTTCGGAGGAGTAATCAAATGAAACATTGTATAATTTATCAGCTTCTTTCAAAATCTTAGGCTTTACCCACCCAAATTCATCAATTTTAAGTTCTTCCAATGTTTTGCTAAGCTCAAGAGAAATCAACACACGATATCCTCTTTCAAGTTCTATATGATGAAGTCCTTCCATGAGAAGATGAAATAAATGATCAGTGGGTACAGTGGGAAGATCATCAGTACGTCGAAAATGTATATGATTTGACTATCAAGATAGAAAATACCATGTTCAGGTTCTTGCATGAACATGTGCTGAATTGATTTAATACCCACCAGACGTTCATTGTTGATGTAGCGAGTGCCATATGGAAGAAGAAACTTGGTATAAATGGACCTTCTGGAAGCGCCTGTTTTTCCTGACGTGGATGGTCTAGATTAACCAACTGATGACAGAAGATTCAGCTTCTTGACTTTATTAATCAACTATTGAATTGATAATTTCACTTCTTGAGCATGAATACTTTTATGTTTTTTTTTAATAATCTCCAAAATATGTATCCACTCGTTGTAGCCAAATTTGACAAGCTCACAAGCAAGTATAACCTCAGTGTTCATAATCACTCTTCTTCTTGATCAAGTGAACCTTCAATGACTCGTTCTTTGGTTTAGTGCACCTTAACCTGATGATGGGATCATGCTTTGATCTATGAGCCAGAACATCTCCAAACTTCTTTTTTTCGATCCTGGCATTTAGCTCTGAAATCCTATGTTATTTGTTCACATTATTCTTGAACAACTAAATATTTTTGTTTTTAGCATTAGCACTTTGATGGACCAACGTTCTTTTTTTTTCTAGCTTTGTTTCTAGCTCAAATAGCAACATTATTCTTTATCATAAATTCTCTCACTTCATCAATAATTATATCCTGTTCTTCAGCTAAAGCATTCAGATCAACAATGAGCTTACTTTACTAGAATGATGAAGGACTGAAGGATCACTAGCAGCAGATGAGCTTCCAGCTTCAATGTCATTGGCTCCCCATGAGAATTAAGCTTTCCTCTTTCGAGGATTGAGCTGATCATGATCAGACTTTGTCGCTGTTAGTTCCTTGAGTAATCTCCCCCTCAAAATATGAATTAGGGTAGATGACATTCAAAGGAATAGGAAGAATAATAGCTTGTGCCAAATTCCTAGATCAAGAAACCCTTCATAATCATTAATCTCAGATTGTTCACTAGCATCTAGGATAGGTTGATCATTAAGTGTCTGAGATGTTGCATTCTTCAGATACAACGATTGCCTTTTGAATATCAACTTTAACCCTTCTTAATTTAGACATTTCAAGCTAATATGGAGTTAATGCAATCACCACCATTTTTTGATCAGAGATTTCTTGACTATTCTCCCTTTTTTGGTAGCATTTTATTGGGGAGGAGAGCCAAAAGGTGGAGAAGGAGTGCAAGGAGGTGGATGAGATGGTGGAGATGCATTTGATGATGGAGGTGGAGGTACAGGAGGATTATCACTTGGAGATTTTGGTGGGGTGTCATCAATAACCATATCATCATCTTCACCCAAGGTTATAATGTGTTTCATATTAGCCACATCCTTTTCTACTCTAGTCAACCTTTCTCCCAGAGATTGAGTTATCTGTACCAATAGAGAGAGTTGAGAGAGCACAATAGTTTGAAAGTTAGAGCTTGATTCCCCTTGATAAAAAGAAGCAATCTAAACAATTGCAGCTTAAGGAGAATGAGATGTTGATCTTGGAGAAATCACATCTTGGATCACTGGATCAATAGTTTCCACTTGAGGTAGTGTTGATCCATGCTATACAATATCATTTGCAGAGAGAGTGTGGATGAAGAATTAGAGGAGAATTGAATGTGCTTATTCAATCATGGAGGAGAATTAATTCCATAAACAAAAGCTTCACCTTTATCGGTGGCAGGTTCATCCTTTCATCTTCAGCGTCTTCTTCATCATCTGTGTCTTCTTTATCATCGTCTTTTTCATCATCAACGCCTTCTTCATAATCATCCTCATCATCCTATTCTTCATAGTCAGAGGATTTAATAACATAGGGATTTGCAATCCATCTTTCCATCCTCTGGGTAATAGTGAGATCATCATCAGAAGGAGCAGCGTTGATGATGTTTGAGGAGAGGGTAGAAATTGGAATTATGATCCCATGATTATTAAAATAACCTTCATGACGAGCCAAAATTAGTCCAATACAATGGGGATAGGGAACATACACTAGCTTCTTATTCCTAGTGATATAATCAATCAACTGATCAGTAAAGAGTTGAGCAAAATCCAGTATTTTGTTGCACACGATGGAACAGAAAATTCTTTGCTCAAAAAGATTCAGTTGATCTAACCTCCCAGTTTTGTGTCCAAGGAATTTACCAATTACTCCCTTTAGGTACTTCCACCATACACCAAAACACTGATGAAGTGTTTATATGAGTGGATAACGAGAGGTGCCATGAAGAAAAAAGTTATAACCTAATCTTTCATGAATGGACTTGCATTTTTCTTCTGAAGGAATTTTAGAATAGTTTTCTGGTCGAGGAAGATGAAGAGCAGTTCGAAAGGATTCCACATCAATAACAACCCTATATTGACCATCCCCAATGGTTCCAATAATGATTTGAGCATTACCATCAACAGAGCAAGAATAATATAATTCACATACTTGCTTAGGGTATAATAGGTGCGGGAAGTCGCAGAAGGCATATCAAAGAGAGCATCTTTTGACATAGTTAACAAAGTCTTCAATTCTTGAGCTCATGAACTGTTTTGCGATAACATCAGAGAATGCCACATTTTTTTTGATTGAATGACAATTGGAGAATCAGGGGCATGAGGTCCTTTGACATCATTAGCATTAGGAGCAAACTCATACAAAACCTTTGACATTATGGGAGCTTGAGGAAGATGATGGTTGATATATTCTTTTTTGAGAGAAAGTCAACTGCTTAAATGAATTGCAAAGTAACCAAAGAGAGTGAGAGAGATAGAGAGAGAATACTCCTATTTAATAAGAAAATCTCTTTACCCCTGCGTAATCATTAAAAGAGAAAAGGCCGCCATAAAAAATCTCGTGCTTCAAGATAATGATTAAAGTTTTGATAGTCATCCAAAAGTTACCGTTGAGATAAGGACGTTATATTAGTGTGACATAGCATCAATGAAGGCCATCAATGGAAGTGATTAGCGTATCAGAGTTACAACGTGTAATCAAGTAAGTTTGTGATGTCTCCTAATAGTATAAGTTTGAACTACCACTCAGTGACATAGTATTGTGAGATTTCAGTAGCGTGTGGTTTTATACGCTGACACATTAGTTAGTTTTATTAGAAGAAAAGGGCAAGATTGGTTTGATGCGTGTAATACATTCCAGTATGAAATGTATCCGTCGGCAAAGAGTGCTGAAGTTTTATTAGTGTATTGCTAATACAGTGAATCATTAACTTCTTAGTAGAAAAAATGATGGGAAAGAATGGGTAGGTGTGTGTAATATATATCATGGACAATGATATACCCATCGACACATATTTTTCAAATTCTCATTGTCATCTAGCTTCATATGCCAAATCATAAATTTCTAAAGAAGAATTTATGGAGAGAATGGACTGATGTGTGTGATAAGCTGTGGTGTTTTAGCTTAACCATTATCATAGATTTTTCATGCTCTCATGAGTGTATGGTACATTACATTGACTCATAGAGATTTAAAGAAGATGTAAGGGCAAGAAAGGGATGGTGCGTGTGACAGTCTACGGTACATAGACTAACTATCGACACAACATTTTAAACTTTTATCAGTGTGTGGTATATCATAGTTAGTCTCCAAGTTTTGTTGAGAAGAAATTAAGGAGATAATGGATTGTCCCAGTCATGTTGAGGTGGAATCAACGTGAATTATAAATGGTGTCAGCTCATCAACAAGTAGTGGTTTAACTTCCGTATCATAGAGTTAAGTTGCAGTTTAGAAATTTAAAGTTCACCATCAATGCATTTAATATGGTACAAGACAAAACAATAAATAATACATGAATACAATGAAAAGAGTTATTCAAATAAGGAAATATTCTAATAGCAATATTTTTGCAGCCTTTTTAGAAACAAGATAAAGAACCGATTCATCAAATCTTTTGAATTGAAGTACCATAAATGAACTTCCTTTTTCTAGAAAATTTATCCCTTTACATTTTCTGTAGAAGAGTGAGTAATTTAGATCAAATATATCAAATAAAGAACTGATTCATCAAATCTTTTGAATTGTAGTATCATAATGTATTGCAGATTGATTCCAAGCTTCATGTTTACCAAGATCAAGAGAAGAACATGAACCAGTCTTTGTAACCAAGGAGTTAAAATGATCCAATCTTTGTAACCTTCGAGTTACGAGAGTCATAAAGACAAAAATCAAAGCTTGTATACATTGTGAGTCGGGATAGAAGCAATGAGGACCATTGTCTTGTTGAAGAGGTCTTTGGATTTCAGAAGGGAAATGGTGTTGTAGTGAAGCGTCTATGGAAATTAGACATGTTATGTTACCTAATATCACTTCATCCTATTTCAAAAAAGATAGGATATGTAAGAAGGAAGGGAAATTTTCCCAGAAGAACACATTTTGGCATAATTATCTCCAACCTGGTCTCATCAACTGGATGATTCATGTCAATCAGCGTGAGCATTAGCGTTAGGGAGTGAGAAGTTGGCGCTAAAGAAAAGATGTAGAAAAAGCTTCAACTAGCTCTACTCTGAAGATGCTGCAATAAAGGAATGATACACTGATCCTATTCAAAGGAACAAATCAGTTCAGTTCATTATCGAGAGAGAAGAACATGCATAAGCAATGTTAGTAGTATAATGTACAATGTATACTTGTTTGGTAAATTAAAAGTTAAAAAGAAATTTTGAAGCAAAAAGGTCATAGCAAATTAAAATTTTAGCAACCTATGTTCAGAAGTTTTAAGGTAGCGAACCAAAAAAGTTAAAAACATAAAGTAGCATTGTCTTAACACATAAAATCAAAGCATGTAAATGTTGTTGTCCATGAGTGCTGTGAGCACAATTTTTTTCTTAGAGTCTAGAACCTTTCCTTCATGGAAATCAAAGAGAACCTTATAATCACTATCACAAAGTTGACTCATGGAGAAAAGATTACTTTTTAGACCCCTAACATAGAATACCTCCTTTATCTTGAATGCCCCACATTCAAGTGTTCCAACACCCATGACAACTTCTTCATTGTTGTCGTCAAAAACCACAATAGGACCATATTTCTCCAAAAAATCTATTAAGAGGGACTTGAGATTGGTCAAGTGTCAAGAGTACCCACTGTCAAGAAAAAAAGTATGTTCTAGATTTGGACTCGATCCTTGGATAGCTTGAGAGGTATTAATGTCACACTCGTTGAGATTACTATCAGGAGAATAACTGATAATAGCCATAAGACCCTTATTATTCATCCCCTCATCGTCAAATGTCTCCTCTTCTTCCACCCATTCTTCACGATCCTCTTTTTTACAATGAAAGAATTTGGCAGAGAGATGTTCTCCTTCTTCATGTGAGCCAACAACTTATTGTATAACAATGCATAGTCTTTTGGACTTTGAGATTCTTTATTTTCTTTGCAGTCCCTGGAAAAATGGTCAGGGCTTCCATAGTTAAAACAGTTACCTAAATTTCTCTTCTCTAAAGTGAATCTGCTTGTTGAATTGCCTCCCTTCAACTTAGCTCTTTAAACCCCATTTGATCTACTTTCTTCATAACGCTTGACAATAAGTGCAATACTGGCAACAAGTTCATCAATGATTTCTTCACAAATCTCTTCACACTGATGTGGGTCATCTGATTCATTGATGAGCTTTATTGCTTCATTTCGAGAAACCAAGGCTACAAATGTTTCCTTGCTTGAGTCCTTCATGATGTCTTTATGAAGAGCTTTGGTCTCTTCGTAATTTAGTAGATTTCCAAACAAGGAGTTCAGATCCATGGCATTGATCTTCTCACTGTTCGTAAGGACATCAACATGATGTTCCTAACTTTTCCCAAGAGAGTCCAGGACCTTCAGAACCAACTAAGAAGAATGCCTGACAGTTCCCATCCTGCACATATCATTTGCCAAACAGTTAAACTTGTTAAAAGGTTGGGTTAGTGACTCACCTTTTTGAGTGAATAAATGCTCGTATCTCTGATTGAGGTTGTGAATGGTAATGTCTTGAACTTCCACAATGCCGTCATAAGCCACTGTTAGTATATCCATCATCTCTTGAGCTGACTTACAATTCTGTAACAAATGATACACATGATAGGGAAGATAGTTTCCTATCGCAGCTTTATCTTTCACACAACTAATCAATTTCTTGTCATCGTCGTCATAACTAGTCTTCGGTTTTTGCTTCAAAGGACCAACGAGGACATTCTTGACCATAGGTTAATACATAGGAACGCGAGGACCTTTTTAAACAAATTTAGGCATCTCATAGTCCATGGTTTCATGAACAACTATGGACATAGTTTTCCACATAGCGAAGTTGTGCTCATCGAAAGCAGGAATCTTGTTGAGACCATAGGATTTGGGATTATAGGAAGTCGACATGATAAATTGAGTGTATCAAAAAACCCGTTCTGATACCAATTGAAGGTTTTTATCGATCGGATACACTTCAAGTATAATATACAAAAACAAATTTTCTAAGCAAAACAAAGAACACGAAATAATCACAAAGTTGTCTTTCACCAAGAAAGGAGTTGTTTTCACCAAGAAAATCGGTTTTCACAAAGACAGTCACCAAGAAGATTACATTAGTGTTTCACCCTAATGTTGAATATATACTAAAGTATACTAGTATATCTCTTCAATCAAAGGATTTTATCTAATCTATACTAAGAATTGATCCTTATCACTAAGATATCAGATTTGTTAGCTATTTTATACATATATATATAATTACCTAATATACAAAGATTACATTAGATTACTACCGACATGTTGACGCTGATAAAGTCTTGAGGTGCTGGCGCTAGTGGTCAACGTATATATTGTTTGATTCATCAGACCATAAGGTGTGACCATACAGTTTCCCCCTTTCCTCTCTTTTATCCTTTATCTTGTTGCGAACAAACTGGAACTAGACACCTCTTCTCATACTGAGATTTTCTTTTTTAGTTATTTGGACATTAGAGAATCCTTCACATCATTCACAGTGATTTTTGTCTTACCATAGAAAATGATATCAACAAAATTCTCATATGAGTTTGGAAGAGTACATAAGAGAATGAACGTCTGATCTTCATCTTCAATCTTCACATCAACCCCTTGTAGATCCAAGATGATATGATTAACCTTATCCATATGATCTTTTACTTGGGTACTTTCAGAAATTCTTAGAGTGTACAACATTTGCTTATAATATTACATGTTCATCAGAGAGTTGTTTTGGTACTTGTCACAAGGTTTCTCCTAGAGCCCAAAAGTAGTTGTTTGATCCACGATCTCCTTTAGTATTTCATCTTTCAAACTCAACAGAATAGCACTACGTGCCTTCGTCAGAATGTCCATCTTCTTTTTAGCCGCCATGTCCTTTGGCAATTTTGCCTCTCCTTCCAGTGCTATTGCACATCCTTGGTTAACCAAAAGAGCCCTCATATTCACATTCCACAAAGTGAAGCCATTTGAACCATTTAACTTCTCTAAATCAAAATTGGAAGTATACATCTAT